ACAGGGACGACTAATGAGCCATTCATCAGTGACATTTGACTTGTGTTTAGGATTTAGGTAGGAGCCACAAGAGTACTGGTAAGAGAATGGTCTATATTGCCTGTCTCTAGTCACATGACATTGTTCAGGGTTACAAAAGGCTATAACCCAGTTACGTGGCAATATCCACAGACTCCAGTGGCTAACGTTACAGTGACTTCAAAGTTTTTCTTTTACATGAAGTGTGCTTTATGTTGATTTTTCCCATCTGTTTAAACTGATAAACTTCCATCACCTTTGCTTTATACCAATTCACATCATAACCTGAAAGCTATTCTCTTACTTGTCAACCACTGCACTGTATGCTTATGTTCCAATTCTACGTCTCATACACTACATTATTTCTTATTCCTACTTTTATCACTGCATATTGACCTTTATAAATTCTTAAATTCTGTCTTTTTAAAAAAATCTTGGATCAGTTTCAGAGAAGTCATTGAAACCTGAAATGAACTAGGTATATTGTTCTACAAAGTTGATGAACACAAAACTAAAGTATTACATTTCAAACTCTTAGTGTACTAAATATAGCAAAATTAGGGTGAGGGATGATCTAAATGGAAACACCGATCTAGTTTTAGTGGCTCAAGATAATTTTAGTTTTATTACTTCAGTTTATTTTTACAGGCATCAATTATTAATTTGTATTATTTTAGCTGTTTGTATTTGTATTTTAGCTGTTTGTGAGAAAGCCATTACACTTTTGTAAGAGGGACACTTTCAAGACAATTTATGGATTTGGGAGCCTAATTTTACACACTTTGGGTGAAAAGCTGACCCCATTTACGTCAACGAGGCCAGAATTTCACTCCTACTTTTGAAAATCTTGTCGTTCATTAACAATAATGAGCCTTACAAAAAACCCTGGGATGACTGCTAACTACAAAGATCTATAAGTAATGCTATATCTATAAGCAATCCTGATATTTTAAAAAAGCAATTCTTTCTGATACAGCCCCCATTAAAGAGTATCCTGAAATATAAACAAAAAATCCCATTAAAAAAAACCCTGTATATATGTTTTCCCCATTGTTCTCCTGTTGATGCTTACAAACATTTTTCCAGAAAAGAAACTAACAGACAGACAACACAGAGGAAAAATGAAATGACTATGAACTATGTGCTGTCAAATGCACAAAGTTTAGATTAACTGGACAGGAATTGTCATTTACTGTATGTACTGGGCCTACCGCAATGAGTCCCAGATATAGTTGAGCCCCCTGGGCACTACCACAATATAAATGTTAAATAAAAACAACTGAAAAAAATTAAAGGATTTTTTTAACCTAACTTCTTTCAGTTACTGTACACTTGGGTGTTATTTCTAACTATAGGACTCAATCTCGCAATGGGATCTGCTAACATTGACCCCGCCGCTTCACAAAGCCCTGTTACCTTCAAGGTAACTCCACAGGGGTTTGCACTAGCAGATCTCACTGTAGGACCAGAGCAATAGTAGATTACAATATTTTCAGATAGAAAGGTGGCTTTCAAGTTGTTAGGTTTCCTTTAAAAGTTGTCAGTAAGGAACCAAAATACTGAATAAATACATTTAAATACTTGTACATATGTATATTTGATGCACATTAAACTCATGCTTATCCTAATTTCAGCAGAACCCTGTGAAGTTCTCTGGGGCCCCACCTGAGCAAAACATTTAAGCACACGCTTAAGTCCAGCTCTACTCAGCAAGGAACTTCGCTTTAAGCACATACTTAAGTGCTTTGCTCAACAGGGATGGAATGACATCTGCCTATGTATTTGTACAATGCCTACTAGAATGAGGCCCTCATTCTGAATGGAGCCTTTGGGTTCATCCACAATATAAACAGAACAACTTCCTTTTATATTTAGTTCCAATTTGCTTTATTTATGTTACAGTAGTGCCTAGAGACACTAGGGACTAGAGCCCCACTGTGCAAGGCAATAGTCTCAATAAGTGGACTAACATTTAAAAGTGCCGAGCACCCAACAGGTCCCACTGACTCTGATGCAAAGAAATAAGTTTCTAGCACTTTAGAAAATCAGGCCCCAATTTTAGAGAGCACCTAAGCACTTGTCTAAACATCCTTCCTGAGCAATGTTGCTTCCCTGAAGCAGGGTCATTTTTAGATGCCTACATATTGATTTGCAAAAAGAAAAGGAGTACTAGTGGCATCTTAGAGACTAACCAATTTATTTGAGCAGCTCACGAAAGCTTATGCTCAAATAAATTGGTTAGTCTCTAAGGTGCCACTAGTACTCCTTTTCTTTTTGCGAATACAGACTAACACGGCTGCTACTCTGATACATATTGATTTGGGAGCCTAATTTTACACTCTTTCGGTGAAATCCTGACCCCACAATAGTTAATAGGAGTTTTGCCATTAATGTCAATGGGGCCAGGATTTCACCCCTAGTTTTGAAAATGTCCTTCATTAACAATAATGAGTCTTACAAAAAACCTCAGGATGTCCTCTAACTACAAAGATCTGTAGGCAGTGCTATTTTAGTAACATTACAAAGACACTGTTATAACATTTTGAGCTTATTTAAAAATGACTTCCTATAGTTTATAACTATTCTCTCCCCTCCCCCTTTTTACAGTTTTATTCCTTCTCTGAGCATCTGCAAAACAGCTTGGTACAGTCTGAGATATTAGAGTTCAAATCTAAATGTACAGAGACTAGCAAAGGGAACCCTTACTACAAATATACAATTATCGGTTTAGTTACAATCTGTTTTTTTGGTGTTTTTATTCAATTTTAGAATATTATACACTAATTAAAAAAGCACTTTTCACAATATTAGTGACATGATAAAAAAGAACATTCCCTCCCTTGCACACAATTTACAACAAAATAGAGCACATTTATTTTGTGCCACAAAAACAGAGACAACCAAACAATTACACATTAGCAACAAATCTCCAACTATAAAGAAAAGCTTAGCCATACAACCAGCACAAACATCCACAAACTGTTCTACTAAAATAAGGTAAAATAAAAGTTTTCAGTCAATTTACAGCATTTTGAACCCGTTTATGACTATGATCTATTTGACCATAATTGGTCTCATATTCATGGATAGGGCTTATGTAAGAAAACTGAAATCTTGCAAATAAAGGAAGCTTTTGTTGTTCCTGTGAAATGACAGAGGTTGAATTTAAATTGTTTGTGAAACTAACATTATGCATTCTACAGTTTAACACAGTAATCACTAAGAAGTTAGGATGGCAGCTGTTGTACATGTTAAGCTAACAAATGTTACGTGACCAGAGATGACTGGCGTGACATGTGGCTGTAGCCCTTTTATACAGTCATGTTACCAACTATTTAAAAAATGTTCACAAAAAGTCCTTTAAAAATATTATTCTCAAGAAGTTCATGGAAAACTGGTCCTATAGTAAAAAGAACAGGAGCACTTGTGGCACCTTAGAGACTAACAAATGTATTTGAACATAAGCTTTCATGGACTAATCCACTTATCCAGCTTATCCTCGAAAGCTTATGCTCAAATAAATTTGTTAGTCTCTAAGGTGCCACAAGTACTCCTGTTCTTTTTGCGGATACAGACTAACACTCTGGTCCTGTAGTATTTATCCCCTGTTTATCATTTTGTTAGTATGCACAATCTAAGATTTACATTAAAAAAATAATCAGACAAGAAGCAATTGCCTTCCAGAAAAAAAATCAACAACACTATGACCTGAAGCGGGACTAGTTTGTCTGGAACCAGAGGGCAAGTATTACATGTCCAACAATCAATTATCAGTCCAAACTTTTGTATCTATGATCATAAATCTACACACATCCCCATAAGTAAGTACAGACAGAAATCTGTTTGTCCTCTAGACAGATTCCATCAGTCAGTGTGAACTGTAATATTTAAATATCAACCCCTTTTATCCTCATCCTCAAGTATTGCAAACACTTTTTTTTTGATGGATCCAGATATGTCTGATTTTCAATATTCTTTCTGTAACTCGTACCTTTGTATCCTCCATTTTGATAAAAATTTATATATGCAAAGGCCTGCCTGGTTGCTGCTACCACTTCATTCATCTCTCAAGTAGCTACATATGACGCCATTTACTACAAGGGTCCAACTGAGTCTAACACTGGACAATTTCCTGAAAGCAATTGTTTTACCTGATGATCTCACATCATCAAAGCAGCTTCCCATTTGACTTCCATTAAGGTCAGTTCAGTAAAACATTTATTACTTTAAACAGAGCTGGGAAAGCTATTTATAAAGAACAATTCATTAGTCTAATTTTACCCTTATTTTTTATTCATGAATTTTTCAAATATCAGACCTGAATTTTACGAACCTGTTGGAAATTACTCAATGAATGTTTAAGCAATGGACAGCTCATGAACTGGGTCTGCTGAATGTATTCTCTATTTGTTATCACTGTGATGTGAACTGGGTGGCAGGATTAGGGAATTTTTATGACGTTGTAATCTTTTCTTTTCAAGGTCACTTGAGGTAAGCCTTGCCTGATACATCATTGCTAGATTAATTAGGCTACTGTAATAATAGGACTTGATCAGACTTAAAATAGAATTTCTTACATCATATGTAAACCAAATAATGCACATAGCATATTTTCAAACAGCATAACGTTAAAGCACACTAGGGACCTTTAGTGAGCACCAGCAGGGTCTACATGGACCAAAAGTGTGCTTCAGAATTCACACCCCCATAGAGTGCATTACCCTATTGTGTAGATAAGGTGTTAGAGAATAAAAGAAGTTTAAAAAAATCTATTGTCTTAAACTGTGGGTCTGAGAGGGCATTTGACTGAAGGTGGCAAGTATTTGCAAGCATCACAGGAGGAGTGGGCCTTCAGAAGGGATCTAAATGAGGAAAAAAAGGGGATCTGGTACACTGGGATTGGGACTGTTGAAGATAATATCGAATGAAATATGACACATAGATAAAAGAAAATAGACATGAGCTCATTTGTTCAGGTTTACCTGTCATGTGTCCTCATAAAGTCCCAAAACTTCTTAGTGCCATTCTAGAAAAAAAACAAAAAAACCTCATCAATACAATTAGTTCCCAATGAAAATTGGTTACCTGAAGTCAAACATCATTTTAACAGCAGCAACTTCCTTCTTTGGCAAAGCTGGCTGTATCTGGAATATATTTATTGATTTTTGACCACAAACAGTAGTGTTGCAGGTACAACTATTTAATTTTCAACTAGAAACTGGAAAGGGCTGAGGAAGGGACTAAATGCTTACCTACCACTTTGTAAGAGCAAAGGCAAATATGTTGCAAACATGTGCCTAAAATAGGTACCTAACTCTATATGTAGGCACCTAAATCAAAGATGCCTGATTTTCAGAAGTACTAAGAACCCATATCTCCCAGTGACTTCAGTCTATTCTGATTTAAGTACCCAGGAGTACTTAAGTACCTTAAGGAGACTGGCTTTAGGCACCCAATGTTTGACAATCTAGGCTCTAGTTTCCAGCAGAACGATGTTCACTTACAAGAATATGCTACTGAATAGTTTCATCCGGATTGATAGATGGAAAAAGCATGCACATAACAGCTAAAAATATTTGCAACAGAATAAAATCTATTAAAACTGATAATCTACTGTGCTACCTACCATTCACTTGTTTACTTCCAAGATAATCTTGGACCAAATTCAATAGACTTGTGCTTCCAACATCACAGCTGAATTTGACCCCCTAAACTGTAATCATTTCCCCCACAGATTTAATAGATATGTTGACACTTGTTTTAGACATATAATTTCACATTGTATAGTCTATGGTATATCTATTAAGACACTTCAGATGAACTCAACACAAGAATAAGCCCTTTTCCATCACCTTAAATACAAATTCTCAGATGGTGTAAATCAGCAAAGCTCCATTGAAGTCGAATAGAACTATTCCAATTTGCATCAGCTGAAATGTGGCCTACAGATTTATTCCCTTAAATCACATTTTGGGTTTACATGATAAATTGGGAGCCACCTGAAGGAATCACCTCTTTTGGTAACCACCTTTCTTTAATTGGACATGCAAGAGGTAGACCTGTTGAGGACTTGGATATCTAAAAGATACTGTGATGGGGTGTGGCCCCCTGCTGGAGAACCTGTAGTCCTACTACATCCCACCCCAGGAAGGAGCAAAGAAGGTGGGTCCTCCAGGCCTTCCTATAGAGGCCTTGTGGAAGCAGCCAATCAGAGCCCAGCAGGCTCAGCTAAAAGGAGCTGGAGGGGCCGAGAAGGTCAGTTCCTGGCTGGGGTCAGTGGGGTAAGAAAGAGTGTTCCTTTTCTCTGGCCGCAGGAGATTGACTGGCTGCGCGCCCCCGCCCTCCCAATTCCATCGCCAACTCATCTGCGACTAGGGACAGCGATGGTTGAGGCCTGGAGAAGGGTACTCCTGCACATACTGCTTGCAGATCAAACTACCACCGGAGGGACTCGAGGACTGGAGGAGTGAGTGAGACCAATTTGTCTAGGTGGTCTCGGTTCGGCCTGTATACCAAGGTTAGCCAAGCCTGAAGGGGATGGAGCGGCAGCCTGGCATGCTGTACCACATACGTGCAAGCAGCCATATGGCTGAGCAGTTTCAGGCAATTTCGTGCCATATTACGGGGGAATCTTCTGAGATCCTCTATGATGGCGCCCATGGCGAGGAAGCGAGATTTCGGGAGGAATGCCCTGGACTGACCTGAGTCTAGGAGAGCTCTGATGAACTCTATCCTCTGAGTGGGAGTTATGGTCGACTTTGCCACCTTCAGAATGAGGACAAGCCTGTGGAATGTCATCCGCAGCTGGCTCACATGGACCTCCACTTGGGCCTGATTAGCCAGTCATCTAGGTATGGAAATACTTGCACTTGTCACTTCCGCAGGAAGGCTGCCATGACTGCCACACACTTGGTGAACATCCAAGGGGGCCACTGAGAGGCCAAAGGGGAGAACTGTGACCTGACGGTGGGCGTTTTTGACCATGAAACAGAGGAACTATCTGTGGGACGGAATTCTGGACACATGAAAGTCTTCATCCTTCAAGTCGAGGGGCGTACCAGTCTCTGGATCCAGGGAGGGAATAATGGAAGCCAGGGAGCCCATGAGGAACTTAAACTTCTTCATGAATCTGTTTAGGTTTCGCAAGTCTAAAATAGGCCTGAGCCCACACTTGGCCTTTGGGATTAGGAAATACCGTGAGTAGAACTCCCTGCCCCTGAATTCCAGAGGGACCTCTTCTACTGCGCTGAGTTGTAGAAGCATTTGCACCTCCTGCACTAGAAGATGCTCTTCAGAAGGATCCCTGAAGAGGGAAGAGGAGGGAACAGAATTGGAGAGAATATCCCAACTCTACTGTGCTCAAGACCCATTGGTCTGAGGTGATTCGGGATCTGAACTGGTGCGTCGCCCACGGGCACACCTTTAAAAGTTCGGTTTAGAGGCTGAGGGCTGCTTTGCTGCACCTTGGCCCTGGGTTAGTGGAGTACTGAGAGGGCCTCCATCTATTACTCCCGCTATAGTCCTGTCTACGAGGAGCTGAGTAGAAGCATTGCAGCTTAAATGGCTTTCTTTGGTGGGGTGACATATGAAGCCCCAAGGACTTCAAGGTTGCCCCGAGTCTTTCAGGCTGTGGAGCTTAGTGTCCGTTTGCTCCAAGAAGAGTCCTAAACAGTCAAAAGGCAAGTCCTGAATAGTCTATTGGACTTTGTGTGGGAGTCCTGACACTCGAAGCCATGAGCTCCATCTCCTGGCTATCGCAGTTACCATCATATGGCTTGCTAAGTCCATCAAGTCAATGGAGGCCTGCAAGGAGGTCCTCATGACGACCTTGCCCTCCTCCAGGACAGCCACAAACTCCAAATGGGAGTCCACCGGAAGCAGTTCCTGAAATTTGGACAGCATGTTCCAGGAATTATAGCTAAAGCAGCTAAGGACTGCCTGCTGGTTGGCAATGTGAAGCTGGAGACCCCCGGTAGAATACACCTTCCTACTGAAGAAATCCAGCTTCTTCACCTCCTTGGATTTAGGAGTCAGCCCCAGTTGTCCCTGCCTTTCCTGCTGGTTGGCAGCCTCTACCACCAGAGTACCGGGTTGAGGATGAGTAAACAGATACTCATACTCTTTGGAGGGCACAAAATATTTCCTCTCCACCCCTTTTGCTATGGGAAGGGGGGAAGAGAGGAGGGTTTTTGCTACAACACCTTAGTGGTTTAATGTATAGTCTTAATGAGGGGCAAAGCCACCCTCAAAGTACCTTCAGGGACCGAATGTCAACCATAGGGTCAGTCGGTCTCTGACACCTCGTCTACCTAAGCCACCCTCCTGAGCAACTCTTGGTATGCCCTGTTGTCCATGGCAGGCAGTGTGGTGGAAATGCCCATCACCACTTCATCCGGGGAGGATGAGGAAGATGCCCGTGGGGGCACTGGGTCTTCCTGACCCTCTGGTTTGCAGGGATCCCCTTGTGCCGAAATGCTGTGCCAGGAGTGCTGCTGATTTCCGGGCCTGCACCCTTCTTGGTACTGGCCCCGTTGCCAGGTTCCGCAGTGGTGTCAGCCTGCATGCCCATCTCCTGCCCTTGCGGAGGTTCCCAGGTTGTCGATGAAGGAGGGACCCGTGGCTCCAAAGCCACCAACAAGGATTTAGACCCCGGCCCTTGGGCTTGTTGGAAGGCCCACAGGGTACAAAAGGGCAACTGAGCCGGTGCTTGACACTGTGGAGACCAGGACATCATGGGTAGCTGCTGCCCTTCCTCTTGTCTCGAGCAGTGCTGAGAGCAGTGATGGCTTCACCTAGAGGCATGCAACTCCACCTCCAAGTCCAACGAGGACTCTGACAGTGCAGAGCGGTGCCGTGGTGAGGGCGAGTGGTGCCTCATCATCATCGGCTTGCCCCAGAGGGCACAGTGCCTCTTTGCTGCACCAGTGCCATTGTCAGTGTGGGGGACTGCGCTGTCATCGCTATGAGGTCCCATGCCGCCTCAGAGGTATCCTCCCAACACTACCACACGTGGGAGTCCACTACAATCGGACTCTATAGATGTCCCTCTGAAGCCAGAGTCAACGGTGCTGGCTGAGTCAGAGCCAGAGCAGGGTGTCCTGGCACAGGACACACCCCACTGGTGCCTCCTTGGTCCACTACTTTAATGGGAGAGCAGTATACCTTAAATGGAACCATCATGCCTTCATTTATGCCCCACACTATTTTTGCTCACCCCAGGAATCTCTTTGAGGAAGGTGGATATTCAGATTATGGAGAGGGAGAACAGAGCCTGAATTAAAGTTTATGAAGCATTAATTTAAATGTAGGCAATTAATCCCTGTGGGATTGTTGAGATTATGCTTTGAGGGTGCAGCAGTCCTCTTGGCCTCCTGTGCTTTGCAAATTACAGAACCTGACTGCCATGAAACACTTATAGAAGGGTTTCCACAGAGCTGCGGAAAATTATACTATGGAGCTGGTATCATGCTCTCCTGTGCCCCCAACACAGATGCACCAAATCTGAATCCCCTCTGATCACATATGCCCCCATTTACAATAATGGGATCTGGCCTATGAGCTGTACATAACTTTAAACAGAAAATAAGAGACTCAGAAATAAAGGAGTTATCAGGATAGGAAGTCCATGTTTTCTGTGAAAATGACTAGCGTTTGCCCACATACAGTTCATTATCTAGATGGTAAATACATTGAAAGGTTTCATTATTATTACTGACTTTTTAATGTACAGTGTCACACCCATAAAAGGGTTAAACTAATTTGCATTGGGTCCTTCAAGGTGCTGTTCATCGTCATGCATTGATCAGATAATGCTGTAAGTGTATCTTGTGGTTATATCTGAATAATAATCCATTTTATATATCCAACCTGCACCTGTCCAAATAAATAAATCAATAAACAAATGAAACATTCCAACATCCCACTGTTTACAGTGGCAAAAACTCAAATGAGCACCATTCACTCCTATTGTCCAAGTCTAATGTAATTTGAAGTCAACTGTATAGAGCTGAGTTTCTATTGTGCCAA